TGATCACCTACTCAATTCTTGAGAAAATTTGAGAAAATTGAGAGATTGATGGTACTTGAAATAGTTTTTTTTTAGTTGTCTTGTTAGGCTATGGTTGTGGGTTGGTATTTGGACTATTGGTGGGGTATCTTTCGGACTGGAAAACCAAAATGGTTTGTCTATGTTTGATGGACAACCAAATCAAAGAGAGATACATTTGGTGAAAAATTATTTGTTCAAAAAAGTAGCAAAATCGATGTTGGATTTTTTATAAAAAAAGTCAAAAATAACTCGAGTTTTTCAATCCTTTCTGTCCATCACTTCCCTACAATTATTGCTCACAAGTTTCCTCAGTTACATTTTCTTGACCAAATTTGTCAAGTACATGTGCAAATTTTCTTGACCAAATTTATAAACTCAATTATTTGATAAATGTAAAATTCACATATTTGAGATATTTCTACCATTAACTAAAGTTTGCTTTGTACTCACCCCACTACTCCTGTTATAATGCAAGCATTTGAATTTTTTTTTTTTTTAAAGGCTCTTCTCAAGTATGCTAAAGTGTTTAGCAAATGTTAAAAAACATTTGTTTTAAAGTACTATTTATAAGATTGAAATTTTGTTTAAAGGAAATTCAAAAATTGTTTTTTAAAGTGACTATTAATTAAGTTTTGAAAAAATTTTAGATGTATAATTTTTTAGAAATTTGTCTAAAATACACTTAAATAGTTAATTTTAAGTATTTCTCTCTAATAAAATTTTAAATTTGTGAGAAAAATAATACTTTTTAAATTTTACCAAACACCTTCATTGATCTAAATTCAGTTCAGAAGAAGAAAGAAGAGAAATAAACATTAACTTAAAATAAGCATTAACTTAGTTTTTCTTTCATTGTAATCTTCAATTAATATATGAACTTTTTTCCATGGAAAGAATACCAATTCACAAACAAGAGGAAAGAACAAGAGCAGAATCCTAAAGGAAACATTGTACGTCTTAATCTTAGTGTGAAAGGCATGAACAAGGAGTAGGACAAAGTTCAGGTCGAAAAATGCTCACCGTACGCAGAATGAGTCCCAATTTGCGGTGTCATCTGTCTTTAATTCTCAGGGATCAAAGTGCTCATTGTATAAAAGCTAAAGGACCAGATCTGTTATTTAACCGTTAAAGAAATAAGCAAAATGGAGTTAGAAACCCGACCAGGCTATGGTGTATCTGTTATTTTACCATCTTTTTAATTGTTTATATAAATTTAGAATTAATTAATATTGATAATTAATTAGTTTATAATATTTGTGAAATAATATTTAATTTTATTATTATATTACTTGAACTAATTAATACTCTCATTAAAATAAAATTAATTTATCAATAACTTAAACATATTTTACTTAAATAAAAACAAAGATAAAAACTTGGAGTTTAAACCATATATATATATATATATATATATGAGACTAGTGTATATCAACCCTAATTCTCAAAAAATTGAGATCCTAACTTATATTTAGAAATTGAAGTTTCAATTTAAAATTTAAAATCTAAATATTAATATTTAATAAAATAAATTTTTAAATTTTCAATTAAAGTTTAATTAAATAAAATGAAATAATTTATTATTAAGATTCTAATTTTTTTAGAGTTAAGGCTGATATTCATTTTTCTATGTGTATATATAAAGCGATTAGAACTTAAAAGAATTTTACTCAAATAAAAAAAAGACAAAAAATCTGAAATTTGAAATAATAAAAATTATTTCAAAACTCAATTAGGTCTTTTGTCAATTTTGTGTGAGAACTTCTATCTATTAATTAGATCAAATTAAAATAATATGCGCAAACAAATTATAGGAGGTTATTTTCTTTTGAGTTGCATTGGTAAAGAGCCAAAAACTTGGGTTTTCTCTCGACTCTTGATGGCCACCAACTTTTGTATCTAAGTAAAATTAAGGATTTTACAGATGATTATGTTTATTCACTTGATTGATGAAAAACTTAGGTGAAAATCTAATTAGTATTCTATTTATGACTCATAGTTGGACTCAATTTAAAACAATACTTATGGCATAGATCTAAATATTAATTTATCAAGAGACTTTTATTTAAAATCTTCTCATTCTTTGGTACATAAAATGCATCCTTGGCCTTTTTTATTAATCATTCCAATTCATTCTAGGAAGATAAAAATATAAGAAATTAACAAGTACATAAAGTTTAGAATGGATTTAAGTAAAAAAACTAGGAAAGAAAATGCATGCAGCTAGCAATCATGCGGTCTCTTCTAGATGTAACTTTCTAAAATCAATGCTATTACGGGGGCATGCATTTGTTCATATAGGAATCTGCTTTTATATTGTTCATCCTATGAGATGCTTCATTTGTTGGTAAAGAAATATTATATCATATTATATACGTTGATTGGTTTTTATTTGCTTTTACAATGAATGTGTATCATCTCAATTTTATTATGTCTTCAAAAATTTGACTATTCTCCATGACTGTTGAATTCCTCAGCACAATTCAACTTAGCCAAGTAGGTATTCCAAGTTTCAACTCTCTCAATAGTTTTTCCCCTGATCACCTACTCAATTCTTGAGAAAATTTGAGAAAATTGAGAGATTGATGGTACTTGAAATAGTTTTTTTTT